CATCCATGCCAGCTATGGCCACCATAGGAGCTGGGAATCTTTGAAGAACTTCCATTCCCTGGGAACGGAGGATCTGCTACATGCCCTCCCCCTGCAGAGGCTGGCCCGCAGTTTCTGATGCATCCCCGATTGAGGACATTCTCAATGGAAAAGACCCCAATGGCTGTCAGACTGTTTTTCTAAAACCAACGCCCATCATCACCTCCCACCCCTATGACTTAGGCAGACATGTTGTGAAGGTCACGACCACCTTCTCTGCCACCCACTTCTCCATTTCCACGTAATTCATTTGCCAGCGTGGGGCTCTACCCTTTATTTTCAGTTCCTCTTCTCATTCTTCCTTACTCCTTAACTCACTGCAGTCTGGTGTTTATACCTCTCACTCCTCAGGCCTGTGTCACCAGAGGCCTCCCAATTGCCACATTCAATGCATTTCTCCCGATCCCTACCCAACACCATTTTAGGGAAGCATTTTCCACCGTCCATAACTTTTTTGTTTCCACACCAGCCCCTCCCAGTGCTGCTGCTTCCTCTCAGTTCCCTGTTTAGGCTTTTCCTTTGGTGCTTGTCCCTTAACTTGTGGTGTTCCCTGGGGTCCTGCCTCCAACTCTGTCCCTGCGTGACCTGGTCTTCTCTTCCAATGGCCTCGGTGACCATCTGTATGTTGTGGACACCCAATCAAACTCTGCATCTGAGCACAGACACTTGCCACAACCTACTGGACATCTCTAGTGGGTGCACTTTGGGACAACATGATCGTGTAACTGTGAACTTACCTGTTTCTAATCAGCACCACAGATATCCTAATTTCCTGTGCCTCACATATATAGTGAGTGCGTAGAAGGAATTCCATGAACAATGAATGAATGAAAGAGCACCTGTCTATGGGAAACCTGCCCACTGGCTGCTCAGTATGCTGAAGTAGGTATTCATAGTCTGAGATTTAAAAAGCCAAAAAACCCGAGATAAGCTGAGCAAATCAGGTGCAACCGTTTAGGAATTTCAAAATGAGGAATTATTGAGACAATCTGCAGTGACAGGACAAAAGACAGAAGTAGTGGTAGAGATGAGCCATGGCAGCCTGTGACCGGTTTTAAACTAAAATTATGAAGAAGTTGGAACTATGATTAAGACAGAAGAAAACAGAATAGTCCCAGAGATGCAGTAGAGAGACAATGAGGCAAAAAGAGCAGCCCGTTCCATCAAGACTGTGCCTGGCAGGGCCTCTGCCCCTTCCTTACAGGACACTAAACCTGAGGCCACATGCCATTTTCTTGGGAATCTTCACGACCAGCAGGGCTGGCAGCCAGAGAGCAACGGTCTCTGAGCAAAGGACCGTATGCTTCTTTCCAGCTCTGAATGCCAGCACCCCAAATCCCAACCCTCAATGTTGATAATTCAGAAGTTGTGTGCTTGCTTAAGATAAAACTTATCGTGACCAATTTCCAATTATCTTCACTTTTTCCCTCACCCCTCCAAAACACCCTTCCAGCCCCCAAGGGAATGGAGAAAGGAGAACACTGTACAAAACAACTGCAAGACAGGGGAGGTCACTACTCTTTTTCTGAATGTCCAAGGCAGCGAAGGTAGCAGTGTGCACCTCTGTGACTGAGCTGAGGAATAGACAGGCTGGGGTGTGAGGGTGAGCGTGGGTGGCAGTGGGGTGGCAGTGGGTAGGAAACGGGAAGCAGTGTCTGTGTGCTCTCCTGGCCCACACACTTGGTTTCAGTAACTGTTTTGTACTAATGTTTATAGAATTGATAAGGTGTTTTAGAACAGTGCCTGGAGGCTTATCTCAACTTTCCTTGTACTCCTGCCTCCCCAGCTGTCAGGAAGGTTGACAGGTCCTGGCCTTGGTGGCTGTACATTCTATAAGATAGTGTGCCTTGTGTCTACAAGTGTCTGTACAGGTAAACATGTTCTCATATAACAGCTTTATTTAATTTACTAATTTATTAATTTATTAAATATATTTTATTGATTTTTTTACAGAGAGAAAGGAAGAGGGATAGTGAGTTAGAAACATCAATGAGAGGGAAACATCGATTAGCTATCTCCTGCACACCCCCCACTGGGGATGTGCCCGCAATGAAGGTACATGCCCTTGACCGGAATTGAACCTGGGACCCTTTAGTCTGCAGGCTGATGCTCTATCCACGGAGCCAAACCGGTTAGGGCTCATACAACAGCTTAAAACAAACAAACAAACAAACAACAAAAAAAAAACCAAAAAGAGGAAATAGTGACAAGTATGTTGTGTACTTTGTCATATATTTTGCATAAAGTGAAAGAAGGGAATACATGGAACCTAACCCTGGAGAACCTGGGTCCAGTTCTCTCCACGTTTCCTCTGATCCTCAAGCCGGTTGCCTCTGTTGGGTTCCCATGTACTCTGTGCTTCCCTCACACCGTGTTGCTGTTGACTCCACACAGACAAAATTCCCATGCATGAAAACCATGCTGTGCTCCCCATAGTTGGTCATGTAGGGTCTGGTAGACAAGAGAGAGGCCTTGAGTAATGTTTGATGAATGAATGTCTGAATGATATAGTGCTAAACACCACTTCACAAGTCTGGGGTCCCTAAACACCACTGCACAAGTCTGGAGATCCTGACTGCATATAGGTTGATCTCACTCTTTCCCCAATATTGAGTTCCATCCATATTTTCCATCCCATGCCCCGTCAGAATGATTAGACTCTCCGATGTCAGTTACTTCTGGGATGTCAGCCTTCTACTTCTTTTTAAAAAAAATATATTTTTTATTGATTTCAGAGAGAGGAAGGAAGAGGGAGAAAGGGATAGAAACATCAATGATGAGAGAGAATCATTAATCCGCTGCCTCCTGCATGGCTTCTCCTGGGGATCGAGCCCACAACCTGGGCATGTGCCCTGACCAGGAATTGAACTGTGACCCCCTGGTTCATAGGTTGACGCTGAATACTGGGCCACACCGGCCAGTCTAAATACATTCTTTCTAACACTTGTACCAATTTTCTTGGTTTAAGAAGGCTTGGCACCATAGTTAAGATTACTTAACTACTTAAACTTCTTATGGGTGTGAACATACATACAGAAAACTACAGTTGTCAGAGTGTACTGTTAAAGTCATTTTCACAAACTCAACATACCATGAGCCCAACAACCAGATTGAGAACCAGAATGTTATCCTTTTCTCAGAAGCCTTTCAGCTTCTATCCTCCCAATGGTAACCACTAATCTGGCCTCTAGAAATCATGTAATTTTTAAAATAGTGGTGATTTAGAACCAAGTTGGACCAGGTACTCTCTACTGTATTATCTGCTTCTGTTGATGTGGGGATAGTATTGAGACTCTGGTCAGTTAACTTGACTTACTAGTATACTCCACTCCTGTGGAGCAATGACAGGAAATGAGTTTCAGTCCCAGCATTACCACATTAGCCCATGACCTAAAAAAATCCATGTCTCCTCTCTTAAATCGTGGTAAACTAGTTTATGAAATATGTACAAACACAATCCATTTGCAGTGTTGCTATGAAGATTAAATGAAATTTAACTCTCAAAGCACCTGGTGCAGAGTGCATGGCTATAGCAAGGTATAGCCAGCTATTGATTTTTATTGTATGCAGTCATGATGTGAAAGTTTTATGTATATTATCTTGTTTACTAGAGGCGCGGTGCACAAAATTTGTGCAGGGGGGGGGGGTTCCCCTCAGCCCAGTCTGCACCCTCTCCAATCTGGGACCCCTCAGTGGATGTCTGACTGCTGGCTTTGGCCCAATTCCGTGGATCGGGCCAAAACTGGCAGTTGTAGATCTCTCTCACAATCCTGGATCGCTGGCTCCTAATTGCTTACCTGTCTGCCTACCTGCCTGTCAGCCAGGTCACCCCAACTGCCTTTCCCTTGCTTACCTGGTCACTCCTAACTGCCCCCCTTCTTCCACGGGCCTAGTCGCTTCTCACTGCCCCCTACTGTCAGTCTAATTGACCCCAACTGCCCCCCTCCCAGCCTGGTTGCCCCCAACTGCCTCTCCCTGTCAGCCTGGTCATCCCCAATTGCCTCCCCCTCCCTTGCTGGCATTTGGTTGTCCTTTACTAACCCCTCTGTTGGCCTGGTTGCCCCAGGCAGGCGTCTGTCTCCCAAGTCTCATTTCTTCTCATTGGTCTCTTCTGCCAACATTTCAATCAATAATGATCTCTTTTCTCTTCCCAACAAATGTGCCTGCCTCTAGGAACCACTGCCCCTCCCACCCACTCTGGAAAACCCTTCCCTAATTTTGCAATTCTTAGGGATTATAACAAGCAGTGCTTTATCCCAGCTGGCATCACTCTACTAAAATTACTGTTTATTTCCTTATTGTTCACTGCTCTGTCCCCATTGCCTAAGACAGTGGTCGGCAAACTGTGGCTCGAGCGCCACATGCAGCTCTTTGGCCTCTTGAGTGTGGCTCTTCCACAAAATACCACGTGCAGGCACGCACATTCAATGCGATTGAAATTTCGTGGCCCACGTGCAGAAATCGGTTTTTAGCTCTCAAAAAAGAAATTTCCATCGTTGTACTGCTGATATTTGGCTCTGTTGACTACTGAGTTTGCCGACCACTGGCCTAAGACGTGCCCAGAATAGAATAGGTAATTTGACAAATATTTGTTTAATAAAGATATGAAAGGTCAAGGATTATTTTGCCAATTTATAGGTAGAGAGACTGTGGCTTCTGGAGGTAAGGCGTTTCGCCCTGGGTCAGTCACTAAGCGGCCCAGGTGAGATTGGAAACCAGGGCTCCACCCACAAACCCTCTGGACCACGCCCATGTTCCTAGCTCCTCCCCTCCGCCCGCTCCCGCTGGCCCCGCCCACTTCTCCTGCGCCGCCTTCGGGACTAGTTTGGCCCTCGGCCGGCCACCGTAGCGCGTCGCCCCGGTTGCCCGGGGAAACGACCGGGATCCGCCGGCTGGGAGGAAAGACGTTTCCCGCCGGCGGGAGCTGCGTTTGTGGCGGCGGCGTTGGGGCGCTCCAGACCATGGCGGACCAGCTTTATCTGGAAAACATAGACGAGTTCGTCACGGACCAGAACAAGATCGTGAGCAGCTGGGGCTGGGGGACGCGGGCGGGCGCGCGCCTGGGGTCCTGGGCCCCGCGAGGGCGGCGGCGGCGGGACCTGACCCCCTCCCTCGGCGTGGGGCCTCGTGGGGGGCGGGACAGAGGAGACAGGTCCCCAAGCCGGTGCCCCCCGGAGAGCGAGAGCTCGCGGGGAGGCCTTGGGGTCCGCCCGCAGGTCCTCGTCCCTCGGGTGGTCGTGCTGGGCGCGGGGCACCGCCGAGGGGCCGCGGAGGGCGGGGCGTTGGGGGTTGATGTTTCTAAGGCGCCCCCACACCTGTCTGAGAAGGTGGCGGGCGTTTAAAGTCAGACTTGTGTATTTTGCATAAAGTGAAAAAAGGTATTAGGTTACCATCTGTAGGTTGGTAATCTGCCATCTGTAGGTTACCATCTCACCCACTACATTTGGCTGTATATTGCTATAGTCCACTACAGTTGAGGAGATTGTGACCGGGTTTAAGTGGTAAGTTGTATAACCTTCGGACAGTCGGTTTTCTCTTACTGGAAATTTGGTATTAATTCCGGCTTGACCTGCCTCCCAGGGAAGGAAGGAGGAAAGATCAAGTGAGACAATGTGTGTGAATGCACTGCGGATCCTCACATCATTGCGTTTATGGGCAGTGACCCACCCACAGGTCGGTAGAAAAGGCAGTGGAAGCAGACCGAGGGGGCCACATAACTCCTTTATTTGTGGTTGGTTAAGGACGGGCAGTTTCCCAATTTAGCAAGAGGTCTGTCTCTTGCTAATGTTTTCTCTCATATACCTTACGCTGCCTTTGCCTAACCTGTGTTAACACTTTTAATTATTGGAAGCTCAGCATGTAGAACTGGAAGACTTTGCGAGAGAAGAGTAACAGGAGAGCCCAAGGAAGGGTGGAAGGAAGAGCTGGTCTTGAGGCCAGGAGTTCCCAATCTAATCTCCTCCGCCTCATTCATTCCCTGACCCAGGCACCACCTGTGCCCTTTAATGCTGGTTTGTAAGGCTGCAGCTGTCCTTGGAGGTTTTGCTGAGTCCTGCACTCCAAAGTAATCTAGCTTCTGGGTGAGTTTTGGTCTAGTTTTCAGCGGTGGTCCTCAGAAAGGACAGAATATGGAAAGGGCCTTCATAAAACAAGGAGTGTGAGGGCAATGAGAGCTTTCTTCCTTGATGTACATTCAGCATTTCTTTTTATATCCTTTGCGTTAATTGGTCTGTGGAACAAACTTCGTGGTATTTGTAAGATACATATCTCCGTTCTGCCTGCCCAGATGGATGGTTCTTGGCAAAACTGGGGTGGCATTAATTATAATTGATAAGGCATAATCATCTAAGACTAGGAATCTTTAGGAGCTTTTAGCACTCTGGAGTTACTTAAATGTTTAAAAAAGTCCTTCTCTTTGCAGGTGACATACAAATGGCTGAGCTATACACTAGGAGTTCATGTTAACCAGGCTAAACAGTAAGTACAGTTAACTACTAATTTTAATCATGTTGGAGTTTTTTTTGTTGTTGTTTTGTTTTTTGCTTTGTTTATAGCCTCATAGATAGCCTCTAGGTCAGAACTATTTTTTCCCTGGAAAATGGGAAAGAATACTGTTTTTACTACTTTTGCCTATTATTTAGGAGACAGATATACCTGTATACAAATGTGTAGTAATAAGTTTACTGAATTTATTCATAGTCTTACTCTCTGATTAATGTCACTTCATTATTTTAGATTTATTAAGTGGGCTAGCTAATTCTGTTTACCTCTCAGATTTATATATCTATTATCTTACATCTTCATTACAATTTCACACATGCTCCTTAGGCCCATCCCTGGGTGTTATTGAAATACCTCCAGAATGAGGTCAACAGGTGTTTGACACAAGCTATCTAACAGCATAAGACGGGGGAGAACCTTTTAAGGGAAACCAGAACAGAAATGTTTAGAGTGGCACAGAGCAGTGCCCTTCTTGAATTTTGCTGTTTTATCTTCCCTTGCTGAAAAGGAAAAAAAACAAGCTTTTGAATTCAAAACTTTTTAACTTGCCAATGTTGTCTATGACCCACTTCATCTCACACCACTCTCTACATCTCATACTTTAGCTATATGGCCTTTCTGCTTCTCAAATATGCCAAGCCCATTCTCACCCTAGGACATGTACACCATTCCCTCTGTCTGGAATGTTCAGCTCCCAGTTGCCATCATCCTTCAGGTTTCAACTCGCATTTCTTTCTTTTTTAAAAAAATATATTTTACTGATTTTTTATAGAGAGTAAGAGAGAGGGATAGAGAGTTAGAAACGTCGATGAGAGAGAATCATCCATCAGCTGCCTCTTGCATACCCTCTAGTGGGGATGTGCCTGCAACCAAGGTACATGCCCTTGACTGGAATCGAACCCGGGACCTTTCAGTCCACAGGCTGACGCTCTAGCCACTGAGCCATACCGGTTTTGGCCTCAGCTCACATTTCACACATTACTTCTTGGAACAGCTCTCCCCTAATGCTGTATTTCAGGTATCCCCACCCCTCTCTCCCTCTCTGTCATAGGTATTTATTTTGTACTTTTTAAAAACACACAAACTTTGAGATAGAATTCACATGCCATACAATTCATCCACTGAAAATATATAAGTTAGTGGTTTTTAGTATATCCAAAGAGTTGTACAGTTAATTTTAGAACATTTTCATCAGCTCCAAAAAGAATCCTGTACTCATTTAGCAGTCACTCACCGTTTCCCTGCAATTTTGCCTGCCTCCTCTTCCCCAGTTCTAGGCAACTACTAATATATGTATATATATTTCTGTCTGTAGATTTGCTTATTTGCATTTCATATAAGTTGAAACCATGTAATATGTAAACTTGTGTACTTGGTTTCTTTCACTTAGCATAATGTTTTCAAGGTCTGACCGTGTTGTAGCATATCAGGATCGTAAGTCCTCACTTAACATCATCTGAAACGGCTTCTAAGGAAACTAGTTTCACCATAGGCTAAATAATATAATAAACAAGAGTTAAGTTCCTCCAGTATGTCATCAAACTGATAATTAAATGACCTTAGTAGATTGAAGACCTGCTGTACTTCATTCCTTTTTATGGCTGAATTATTCCATTATGTGGTGTTACTAGTTTCTTAGGGCTGCTATAACAAAAGCACTACAAACTTGGTGGTTTAAAATCACAGAATTATGTTGTCCCACAAGTTCTGGAGGCTAGAATTAAGATGTCAGCAGGGCCACACTCCCTCTGAAGCCTGTAGGGAAGGATCCTTCCTTGCCTTTTTCTAGCTTTTGGTGGCTTGCTGGCAGTGTTTAGCATTCTTGGCTGCATGACCCAGCCTCTGCCTTTATGTCACATGGCATTTGTTGTCCCTCTGTGTTTGTTTCTTCACATGGTCAGTTTATTTATTTTATTTATTTTTATTTTTTTAATATATTTTATTGATTTTGTACAGAGAGGAAGGGAGAGAGAGATAGAGAGCTAGAAACATCGATGAGAGAGAGTCATCGATCAGCTGCCTCTTGCACACCCCCTACTGGGGATATGCCCGCAACCAAGATACATGCCCCCGACCGGAATCGAACCCAGGACCCTTCAGTCCCCAAGCCGACGCTCTATCCATTGAGCCAAACCGGTTTCGGCCACATGGTCAGTTTATAACGATACCACTCTCCTCTAGAATGACCTCATCTTAACTGATTATAAGTGCAAAGATCCCATTTTCAAGTAAGGTCACATTTTGAGGTTCTGGTGGTTAGGAGGACGACATAAGTTTTTTTGGGATCACTCTTCAACCCAGAATATATGGATGAACCATATTTTGTTTATCCATTCATCAGATGATGTGCATTTAGGCTGTTTCCACATTTGGGTGTTACAAATAATGTGACCATAAACATTTAAGTATAAGTTTTTGTGGAGACATGTATTCTCAGTTCTCCTAGGATTGGAATTCCTGGATCAGATGACAAATCTATATTTAACATTTTGAAGAACTACCTGATTGTTTCCAAAGTGGTTATGCTATTTAATAATCCCATCAGCAATGTTTGAGGGTTCCAATTTCTCCATATTCTTTTCAACTCTTGATGATCTTTTTTAATTTTAGTCATTCTAATGGGTGTGATTTGCAATTCCCTAATGACTAATGGTGTTGATCATCTTTTCATGTTCTTAGCCATTGATATATCTTTGGAGAAATATTTATTCTGATCCTTTGGGTTTTTCATTGGGTTATTTGTGGGTTTTTATTTTTTTTTATTTTTTATTGTTGAGTTGTAAGAGTTTTTTTTATATATATTCTGGATACTAGACCCTGATCAGACACATGATTTGCAAAAAATTTCTTCCATTCTATGGGTTGTCTTTGTACTTTGTTGATGGTATTCTTTGAAACACAAAAGTTTTTATTGTTGAAGAAGTCCAATATATTTCTTTCTGTTGCTTGTGTTTTCTTTTTTTTTTTTTTTTTTTTTTTTTTTTTTTTTTTTTTTTAATATATATTTTATTGATTTTGTACAGAGAGGAAGGGAGAGTGATAGAGAGTTAGAAACATCGATGAGAGAGAGTCATCGATCAGCTGCCTCTTGCACACCCCCTACTGGGGATGTGCCCGCAACCCAGGTACATGCCCTTGACCAGAATCGAACCAGGGACCCTTCTGTCCCCAAGCCGACGCTCTATCCATTGAGCCAAACCGGTTTCGGCTGCTTGTGTTTTCTTATAGTGTCAAAGAAGGCTTTACCTAACACAAGGTCAAGAAGATTTACTTCTGTTTTATTCGAAGAGTTTAGTAGTTTTAGTTCTTACACCAATAATTATCACTATATTTAAGGTTTTTGTGTATCAAGTGCTTGTTAACATGTTAAAAGTGCCTCAGTCCTCACAATAAGGCTACTCTGTCATTTTCAAGTTAGGTGGTGTACAGTGAGAATAACTTATCTCTGTTCCGTGATGTCTGGTGTCTCAGCTGAGAATCCTGTGTCTGGAGCTCTGACATCTATAGGCTTCTTTGTGCCTCGAGTTGATGCTGGCCTTTGGCTGAGGCTGTTGACCAGACATTGCATGTGGTCTGTTTATGTGGCCCGGGCTTCCATCACAGCATGGGTAGTCGGACTTCTTACACAGCAGCTTGGGACTGTAAAAGCTAGTATTCCAGCACAAGGCAGATGCTGTCTCAAGGGTCAAGCAGTTTCATGTCCACTTTATTCTTTTGGTTAAAATGAATCACTAGCCCTCTCAGATTCAAGAGGAGGGGATGGAGTCCACCTCTTCGGGTGGACATAGAAGAGCATGTGGGATGGGTGACATTGTTGTAGACATTTTTGGAAAAAACAGTATGCCACATTGTACCTTTAGTGCTTGCCACATAATAGGCACTAATAAATATTTGTTGAATATTAAGAATTATGCTAGATATTTTCACAAATATTTATCTCACATAATCTCATTTACAATCCAATGTAATGCATGTTATCAATCTCTCTTTACAGTTGAGAAAATTGAGACTTGAGTGTCCTGTCACCTTTTCTTATTTTACCTATAATATAAGTAGTTATTTTACTTTATTTTATTTTTTTAAAATATATTTTATTGATTTTTTTACAGAGAGGAGGAGAGAGGGATAGAGAGTTAGAAATGTCGATGAGAGAGAAACATCGACCAGCTGTCTCTTGCACACCCCCTACCCGGGATGTGCCCGCAACCAATGTACATGCCCTTGACCAGAATCGAACCTGGGACCTTTCAGTCCCCAGACCGACGCTCTACCACTGATCCAAACTGGTTTCTGCATAAGTAGTTATTTTTAACATTTAAAATATTCTTGTTTTATTTTTTAAATTTTTATTGAATTTATTGTAGTTACATTTTTTAATAAGATGATATAGGTTTCAGGTGTACATTGTATTGTGTGTTCACCACCCAAAGTCAAGTCTCCTGTTACTATTTATCCCCCCTTTATCCTCTACTACCTCCCCCTCTTCCCCTTGGAAATGATCATACCGTTGTCTGTGTCTTTAATTTTTTGTGTGGTTTTTGTGGTTTGTTTTTTGCTTAATCCCTTCGCTTTTTTCACCTAATCCTCAAACTCCCCGCCTCTCTGAGCTGCCAGTCTATTCTCTGTATCTACGAGTCTATTTCTATTTTGCTTGTTATTTTATTTGGTTCATGGGATTCCACATATGAGGGAAATACTGTATTTGTCTTTCTCTGATTGGCTTTTTTCTATAGTGGAAGCATGTAAAGTATCATTGCTGGCACTGAAGGTAGTGATTGGGCCTGATTGGTACTGATTTGCTTGGATTTATTAAGAAGTTTTTTTTTCTTTCCAGTTCTTACTATATATTTAGTATTATTTTAGGCTGTGTCATAAAACAGCAAACCTGATAGACAAGGTCCTTTTCATCATTGATATATACAAGATAATTTCAAGTTGTAAAAATACTGTGAAGGAATTAAATAGGGTTAGGGGAG